ACAAAGCCGATACTCAGGCACTGAGCTTGCCCGATCCAAATGGCCTTCGTCTCTCATGCTCAAGCTTCCGCAGGTGGAATGCAATGCTAAAGATCGCATCACTATAAAGTTGCCAGGCCCTCAATGCAGGTAGAGTACGGTGCTAGCAAGCTTCTCGCAGACCGAATCCCACCCAAAAAAGCGCATCCTAAAGCCTAAATCCTTGACCTGCAAAACAACTCCAGCAACGAACCCATGCAACAGAATTATAATAAGTCAAGAAACCTCATATAGAGACTTCAGATAGCCCCATGCAGTTGTCGGCCGAACCCATTATCCGAACTGCAGACTGTAGCAGACTCGCAGCCAGTCCCGGAGTCTAGCCTCATCACAACCAAGCATGAAGCAACTCGATCTTCGAATTGTTCAAACTCCAACCAACTATTTCCTATTAACCGCCGAAGCCCGAGAATATATATATATATATATACCCTAATTACAAACTTAACCCAATACCGTTCTAAGCCTGCCCTAGTCCGGTAGCTGCCCTTAAGCCTTCCCAAGCGCCACAAGTGTCGACACTGATCCGAATGGCTCGTGTGCTGGCTTCTTCGGTCGCAGCATGCAGATTCAGGACGGTTTGACATCGGGTCTTACGATCATGGGGTCTCAGTCAGACGAAGTCTCACACAAATGCGGGCAGGAGGCATGGATTTGCTGCACGACGTGTTGGACCTGTCGAAGCAGCTATCCGTTCGTAAAATCAAGCAGCTGATCGACGCGATCTCAAATCGGGTCCCGTCACTTTGGCTGCCGAACCCTGGCTTGCATGGCAGAAACTTCAGATGAGAAATCCTGTGCCGTAGGATGCTGTGTTCGTCGATTGCTAGGTCTAGCCTGCAAGATCTCGCCGGCTATTCCACTGATCAAAACTGTTACCGGAATTTCACCAAGTGGGTTAACCGGCAGCCGTGGAGAAAAATTCTCCCAAGCCCCACCGAGTGTCTTTGCTTGAATGTTGGATACACATGCTTCATACAGGCTCTGCTGCAGGCTGCAGGGCTTTATTATACTGTTCCAGCCGAGGGTCAGTGTTCTTCTGGTGGACAAGAAGAAGCCAGCGAAGGACCAGGTATATGAATCCACCTGGCATGTCATGCTGCCGCATGAAACGCTGGGGGCTGAAGCTCATGCCGACTATGGGCTGGTGTGTCGATCCCCTGTCTCCTGCAATGGCTCCCGAGGCTCCGGTCCGTCTACAACTACTCACTGGATGAGTTCAAGCGATTATTCCTTGGAAAGGACGGTGTGCCTCGAACAGCAGCAGGTCCAGCTGAGCGCGGCGAAGGGCAGTCGACCCTGAGAGTGTAGGCTACCCGGGAAGCCGCAACTAAGGATTGTCTCCGCTACTGGCAGAACATTCAGAACACCGAGCAGCTCGATCGGGAAAGCTTTCTCCTATGTTGGGAGTTTGACAGTGACGTGATGCTCGCTTGTCACATCGATCTAGCTGCAGCTGAGGTGGTTTCAGCAGCACCCGCTCCTCGCAAATCTGTCCGTCCCTAGTCTGCATTCAAAGCTTCGAGGCCACACTTTTTCCAAACACTTAGGGGAACCAATTAAGGACACCGAATTGGAGAGATGCATCCCTCTTGAATTTCATGGGGATGATGCCGATTCGCATCGGCGGCGGACATTTTTGATTTGCAGCTTTCAAAGTGCTTTGACGTCCGGACCCACGCTAGACACGCTTTTCCCCGTGTACTGTCTTGACAACCAGCAGGCATCAAAGTGGACACAGTCCGAATTGGACTTACACCTGGTGTGGTCCATCCAGCAACTCCAACAAGGAGAGCTCTTCAACCATGACGCTCACGGACGGCCACACACACCACCGTATCGCAACATCATGGGTGAATACAGGGCCATCTGGGTTGGCATGAAAGGCGATCAAGCCTTTATAAAAAAGTGTTTACAGCTCTCGGGGTCCTGGGTGTCGAAGAATTCATGCCTCTACTGTGAGGTGGGGACCTGATCAAAGTACCATGTCTCTGTATGTGGGGTCAGATCCAATGTAAGCCAGCTGCTGTTCAGACAGAAAGTCCTGACCCCTGAAGGCCTCTTCAAAGGCAAACTCCAGAATGCTCTACACTTACACTGGCTGCAATGCTCCACACCGTACCAGGTTGCTCAATTGCACATGCATCGATGTCACGTGATATGTCTGTGAAGAAGACAAACCTAAACCCTAAAACCTAAACCCCCAACCCAACGGATGCAAATCGGTCCCTGTGCTAAGGCTCACTACAGATCAGAATTTCCTGCAGAAGATCTCAATGTCTGCATGGTTCCTCTGCCCTGGAATAAGTGTCAAGCGTGTCTGGCCGGACTACCTGCACGTGGTGGACCTGGCACTGGCGCCAGATGCTGCAGCATCTGCCACTCGGCAGCCCATAGCTGGACAATTAATGACCGAAGCCTGGCTTGCATATGTTGATGTAACAGGCCTTGCTTGAACTCACTCGTGATGCTTCGCACTGGCAAGGACTGGATCGTTCAAGAATCTAGGGATGCCCGAATCTCTCCTTGGGTGCCCGCTTCCCCCAATGCAGGACGGGATCAACAGGAACGATTGACCAATGCCTATGCCGACTTCGCTGCGGCGTGCAAAGCAGAGAAGGTCCGCTACTTGCCACAGAGCATATAGGGTACTTATAGGAGGTTCGCGTGCACGGGGTTTAGGGATCAATATGTGTATTTTTTCTAGTCCGCAACTGCCAAGTAGACTCGGACTGTGGGCTATAGCTAAGGCTGCAGGGCTCCGCCGTTCAATTTGGAGGCCATGAAAGCCAATCGGACTACTGGCCAATACCCGACATTGGCACAGAAGCACCTGAGCGGGGCTGTGGCTAGATTAAAATAAGTCAAATTCTGTACATGCATTTCTTGGGACATAAGCCCCTAAACCCCAAACCCGAAACCCGAAACCCCTGAGCCCTAAACCCAAAACCCCTCGCTAGCTCAGGAGTCCATAAT